AACCCAACGAGGTTATAACAAGCGCGGCAATAAAACCTACCAACTTAACCCCGAATTTCTTCACCTCGGAATCCTGTAACCTGCGATACAATAGCCCTAGATTCCTTGTGGCGCAAATTACTGGGCTCAGGCATTAAGGGATTTGCCTAACGGCATCGAGGGTTATAACATCATAGGTTTCAGGGATACAGGGTTAACGGATTTAAGGTTAAGGGGGCAGTTAAAGGTTAAGGGGTCTCGGGATTTTGGGTTAACGGATTTAGGGTTATGGACACGCAGATTATAGCCTTCTAGAATATCTCGGAATACTGACGTGCTGGCGCAATTCTAAGCTGGGATTTCGTTTTAGCGCATCGAAATTCTTCGGGTGCGTTATGTATAGTTTTTGGTTCTCAAGTTTGTCGGCCTGTGCCAGACAGAAAAATATTAGAATTAAAAATTTAAATAATTTGTTTAAATAAATTTAAATGTACAAATCTGACATCAAACTCGTAATCAGTGACCCGTAAAACCATGGAAATGAGGTGCAACTTGCAAAAATATTCAATTGTGCAAAAATTTGTTTAAACAAATTGCTTGAATGAAATAAGTATTGAAAATCTGATATCCGATACCATTAGCGGAATCAAAAACCGTGAAATCTTTCATTCGTTTTTGAAATTCTGTGGATAAATGATGTAGAATATTACGTAACTTGAAATGTATGATTGTATGCTGAAGCTGAGATAGGTGAAAGCCGAGATAACTGATTTTGTGATATGCTAATCCTTCTGTGTTAGAGATCACGTTTGAGTGGCGGGCTAACGGTTGAATTTCCTGTAAATGTTATTATCTTATTTTCTTCTACTTTATTTATTATAAGAATATTTATCATAAGAACATTTTTTATCCTCTTTGTTATTTATTATAAGAAAAATGAGTTCCAGAAGCTCTTGTGCAAGAAAACTTGATACATTTTGTTATGTTTGTGGGAAGTTTGAAACAACTTCTTATCGACGATCGATTAATGATTCAATCAAAACTCTATATATGAAATGTTATAAGGTTCCGATCGACAATTTAGATAAGACATGGGTACCATCTTCAATTTGTAATTCTTGCAGACTTGCTATGTTGAAGTGGAATGATAATAGCAGCAATATGACTGTTATTGAACCGACCATCTGGCGTGAGCCCAAGATTGTCAGCTTCTTAGTGTAAACTCTCTAACTACATTGGAGCTTAGGTTGAAATGCTATGGATTACAGTCCACTTAAATTAATTTGTCCTGTGCTTGACCCTCACTGTTCACTGCATTTAGTTTAATCTGTTGTAAGTTTAGCGCTCGCCGATCATAGCGAACGTAAGTTCACCTGTAGTGGTCTAGAGCTCGAAGTTTACTGCGCATATAGGTTATACTGTCGTGGATTCTAGTTTGCAAGCTATATCGTACTCAATATACCTGTTGCGGATTATAGCGCGCTTAAATTAACCTGTAGCAGGTTATAGTGTATTTAGGTTAACTTGCCGTAATTTTGAGCTTACAGGTTATAGCGCACTTAGGCAATCCTGTCATGGTTTTGAGCTTGCAGGTTATAGCGCACTTAAGTTAATGTGTCGTTGGTTCTAGAGTTATAGGATTTTCAGTGCATTTAGGTCATAACCATCTGCCTTAGCCTGCCCTAAATTTATAGCTGCCATTTTAGAGTGCATCTAATAAATGCAGCTAGATTCGCCGTAAATTAATACAATGGTAGACCTTTATATGCCAGTGTAAGTTTTTCCTACTACTGAAGATTGCAAAAAAAATCAAGATTTTTCATTCTCCAGTATAAATCAATTAATGAATGGCACATTTCAATTGACGGTATCTCTGCTGGAAAAAGACATAAAAAAATCGGTAATGCATTTTGTCGGCCAAGAGTTTCTCTTTCAGATGTCGTTGTCAGTTTTGCATGAAAAAATTTATTCACAATTATAAGGTGTTATAAGGTACCGAATATAGCCAAAAAAACGTGATTTTCGCACTTTTAGGTTAAGATATCTCAAAATCCTGATGTGCTGATGCAATTCTGAGCTCGGATTTGGATTCAGTGCACTAAAATCCTTCAGGTGTACTATGTCTGGTCACTCGTTCTGTAGTGTCGCAGTATAAACAAATTCATAGGTCATAAATTTCAAACAATGAAATCTCCATTACCAAAAGACATAAAAACAAAAATCGGTAGTGCATTTTGTAGACCAAGAGTTGCTCTTTCAGATGCCGTTGTCAGTTTTGCATGAAAAAATTTATTCACAATGTTATAAGGTACCGAATATAGCCAAAAAACGTGATTTTCGTACATTTAGGTTAGGATATCTCAAAATTCTGACGTGCTGGCGCAATTCTGAGCTCGGATTTGGATTCAGCGCACCAATATCCTTCGGGTGTACTATGTCTGGTCTCTGGTTCTGAAACCTTGTTGGCCTGTGTAATTTATTTATTTATTTCTATTTTTATATAAAAATAGACCCCAAAAAAAATTTATTCACTAAGATTTAGCCAATAGTTACTGTTTTCTGAAAATAACTGATCTACTTGCCTACTCCACGCCTGAATTAATTCACTACCTCCTTGATGGAATCGACACCTTTCGTCATCACTTTCTAATGACTTCCGATGTTCGGCAAAGGGGCACTCCGAAATTTGCATCAACAAGTCCTCACACTGTTTGCTTAAATGTAACGTAAATGTAACTTAAATGTAACGACAATTACGTACTGCTAATAATGGTACTTGACACACTGCACAATATCCAAACGTAAGGCGGTTATCTGTATTAAGACTACCATAATTTATCTTAAATAGATGCTGAATGAAGATAGCAGTGCTTTTACTCACGGTTGGAAATAGCAAATTTTGGCTCCTGAATAAACTATCCTTTGGTACTGTAAGATATTCCGGATATTGAAATATCTCATTATTGTTTCTTAATGTAAAACGTTTGCCTCTGGCTTGCTGTTGTGCCACTGTGAGTCCTGGTATTACTGGACCTAGCAGTGAGTATCCCATCTTCGTTACACTTTCCTTGCATATTTCTTGAAATTCTGATGAGTTATTATTTATTATTTCTCCGATTAATTCATACGTGTTGGTTGGCTGTAAGGTCCGCACTTTGTATCCGTATTCAATTGCTGTTTTGTTCAACCAGCGGCAAGCTCCCCAGCGATAAATATGGAACGGTTTGGGTGTCCAACAGTAGTTTTCACTCGTTTCGAACAGTTCTAGAGGGTCTCGTTGCATAACACCTTTCTCGTTAAGGAGGTTCTGGAGTGTCATGAGGGGCAAGGGGTAAGGGGAACGAGTCCTATCCTTTAACACAGGCTGAAAGCACTGCTACAAACTTTAGATAATCAAATTAAAGTTTTTTTTCCATCGATAACCACAGCCCAAATATTGTTTGCATAGAAGAAAATGAAATATAATGCAATAATATTCATGCAAAAAATTTATTATATACGAAACTATTCATTAGTTTCGTATTTAGTGTAAACATAATACAAGTGAAAAATGATGTGAGGACGCGGCAACGTCGCCTTTTCGAAATTTGTATTCTCAAGTTGTTACCACTGCGCACGTCTGCAGTAGTAAGCAAACGCATGCCGTAGCAGGAGGTAGCAGTAAGCAAGCACACATGGCGGAGTTGCGGAGGTAGTCATCGTATAACCTAACCTCGTATAGAAAGTTTACTTTGTAATTTAGAATTTTGAAAAATGTCACAATCAGAGGGTCCGGAAAAGTGTCGTTGGAAGGATAAATTTGTAACTAAGAAATCGCGTCAGCGAATGGAACAACGGTCAGAATGTGGTAGGATGAGAAAAGGCGCAAAAAAAAAGTTGACGTTGACTCGGATGCAACGTGCTGTGTGAAAGGCAATCGGATTGTAGATTTGGAATTCATGTCTAAAAACATGAATTGTACGTTTTACCATGTCAGATTAGATTTGAAATACACTGAAAAAGAAACTACGTTTGGAGCAGCCTCAATTTTTAGCATACGATGCCACGAGTGTTTGCTTCTTAACTCTGTAAAAAGTGGAGAAGAGTATAAGAATCCAGTAACTGGAAAAAATACTTTTGCTATCAACACGAAGGTAGCTTTAGGTAATTATTGTTTTTTATCAAGTTTTCAGTCGTTTTCCTGAAAAATAAATTATTTCCCTCTTGCACATAGTGTTGTAAAAATTAATTTGTGTGATATATTTACAGGAGCTATTCACACTGGCTTTGGTGAAACGCACGTTAGCAAATTTTTCAGCGTACTTGATCTGCCTTCACTTGATGCTCATACCTTCAAGCATCACGAGCGTATAATTGGGCCTATAGTCGAAGCTGTGGCTAAAGAAAGCTGCTCAAAGGCAACTGCTATGGAGCGAATGCGTTGAAGATTTGAAGAAGCTATTGTAAGCTATTAGAGATTGTGCTTATTTTATTGAAAAAAGTGAATCAAGCAAAATTGAATCAACTTATCAATTAGTTGCAAAGAAACATTTCAAGTAATGTGTTTTTTTTTATGAGAAAATTTTAAAAGAGTTTTGCTTCATTAGGTTGAGTGAGTTTACTACTGCGTATTAATTAAGAAAGAACTGTACTTTAATCATGTTTTCTTCAGATAGTTATACAAATATTATAATAATACTTATACAAACTGACGTGATACTATTGTGTCATCGTGGATCAATTTAAAGTATTTTTTATTGTTTACAATAAGCTTATTATTCTTAGTAATTTTTATACTGGTTTACCTGATTGTTTTTAATGAACTACACTTCTAATATTATTCATATAATAATTGATAATCAAGTCATGATTTTTTTTATTGTTGAGAAGCAGCCATTCCACCTATAAGAAATATTTTTAGTTTAAATAATATTGTACAAACATATACTGTTCACAATTCAAATAAATAAAAATTATACCAATGATCAATAATAACGTTGAAGTTTTTCATAATTTCATTTTTTCTAATTAGGCCAGAAGAAATGAGAGAAGGATATTTGATAGTCAATGCTGATTCTACTGAGAATGGAAAACCTATAGTTCGAGTTTTTGCTTCATTTGATATGGGTTGGGGGCAAAGAGGAAATGGACATACTTATGATAGTCTCAATGGATATTGCGCTATTATAGGACTGAAAACTGGCAAAGTGTTAGATTACTGCACACGCAATCGGAAATGTCGAATTTGTGATCTTGAATTGCTTACTGGGGTGGGAAAACCACATGACTGCAGGAAAAATTTAACGGGACCTGCTAAAGCGATGGAGGGCGACGGTGCTGTGCAGCTAGTAACTGCTAGCAAAATATTGAAAGAACATAATGTCCAAATTGGGGTCTTTATCGGAGACAACGACAGTTCTAGCATGGCTGCAATCCGGAGTGAGATTGATTACCCTATTATAAAACAATCCGACATGAACCACACCACAAATAATGTCGGTAGCAAGTTGTATGCTATTCAAAAAACATCAGATCCCAACCACGAGTTGACAGGGGATGTTATCAAACATATACAGCGCTGCTTTACCTATGCTGTACATCAAAACAAAAAACATTTGGAAAAGATGAAAGCAGCCTTGGAAAATGTACCGTATCATCTGTTTGATTTGCATAAAAATTGTGGTTCGTGGTGTCAAAGCAAAGATGACAAAGAAAATAAAACAACTAGTATCGTACTGAAAAATCCATCATTGTTTGACAGTTTGATAAATTTATTTGACGAACTATCAGGAAATTCTGATAAATTTATCAGTGCAGCTAGCAGCCAAGTTAACGAGAGCTTGAATAACTCTATGTGTCATAAGAATCCTAAAGGTTTTCTGTACAGTACTAGTGAATCAACTGATTTCAGATTCAGTGCAACGGTTGCCGAAAAAAATCTTAATGTATCGTACTTACAAATATCGCAAGACAGAGCTGGAATGAACCACAAGGGCATTTTGAATAAGCATGTTGTGAAAAGTAACAAAATTTCGTTGAACAAGAAAATAAAAGCCTCTACTCCAGCATTTAAGAAAAATAGATTAGAACTGAAAGCAAAAAGATCACAATTAAAAAATAGAAAAGCTAACATAGCAAATGGAATGTACAGTAGTGGTATGTCATTATTAGAAAAAAATTCGACCTGTGAGTCAACTTGTGTCGAAACTTTGATTGGCGAAACAATTTCTTGCCAAACAGACAATTTGGCAATTTTATTTTTTGACTTAGAGACGTCGGGATTGAGCCTCAAGCATGAAATTTTACAAGTGTGTGTAAAATTTGGAAACCAGATTTTCAAATCATTCATCACACCCACTCAAGCAATAAACTGTGCAGCATCCAAAGCCAATGGACTTACAAAAGTTTATAAAAAATTATTTCAACATGGTGTTGAAGTAGTAACTTTACCACAAAAACAAGTATTTATTAAGCTTCTAGCATTTTTGAAAAGTATTAAAAAAAAATGTTTACTAGTCGCACATATTTGCACATTCGACTCTAGTCGACTAATTTTAGCTGTAAAAACTTTAAATTTACTTGAAGAGTATGAGCAGGTTATTGAGGGATTTGCAGATTCACTAAGTTTATTAAAAAAAATATCCTAAAAGAAAAAGTGGTTACAAACTCACTACTTTAGCAACTGAACTTCTTTCGCTTTCCATAGAAGGAGCTCACGATGCCAGTTTTGATGTCAATTTACTGGAAAAACTATCGAATAAATTCTTAAATATTAAGGATTTTGTTGAAACTAAAAAATCGCTCGCTGATGTCATTAGTATGTTAGACAACTCAGAGAATACGCAGAAGCTGCTGCCGACTTATAAATCTATGGATGGAATTATCTCTATTGCTATGAAGAAAAGATTGTGCTCCTCGGGAATTAGCTATGAACAAATTTTAAGTACTTTTAAATCTCAAGGTCAAGATGAAACCAAAAAATTATTACAAGGATTTATTAATGGTAAAGCAACTATCATCAAATCACAGAAAATATTAGAAGAAATATTGAAATTTTTAGAAAGCCAATGAAAAAAGTACACTAGTCGTGATTATTATTTTAAACTAAGTGATAAAAGTTGACTGAGTCATAGAATATTATTTATCTGTAAACTACATTTTACGTTTAAACATTATTTATTTTACTTTTATTGTGAATAAACGTTGGTCCAATATGTAAGTTATGTAAATAAATTTTGTATTTCACTATAATGCCTACTGTTTTTAATGTTAATAAATTGTTATTTGTTAACAAATTTATGTCAAATAAGACTAATTACAAGAAAATTTTTATTAGAAGTACGCGTCGTCGTGATTGCTATGCACATGTGCTGCAACGGTAGTCGATTTAATTAATCGAACCGTTCGCGATTCTGATTTTCGCGCGTTAGTTCTAAGTATTGAGAGAGAGAGGGGGCGTGCGATCTTTTAAATTAGCAGTTACGTCTCAGCTGTTGTGACAAGTAGATATCGCCGAAGCTATTTGCACTGTTTTTTCTCGCCGACTAATAGTTTCTTGTCCATAATAATTACGCGCGTCAGTGCAACAACGAGACCTACAGATTGCATCGTTTTGGTAGCAGCAGATTTGCAGCTGATAGGTGGTACGAGGCAGCACAGCTGATAACCTAGGACCGGAGGCAGTTGATATTTTGCTGACATCAACAATTACGGCTGATCACCGTAATTGCACCGCAGGGTAGGTGCACCTCCCTTAATTATCGTGTGTCAAAATACATTTATTATTTTGTTCAACCGCGTTAGCGTTGATAATTTTGTATTCGCGCCGAGCGTTAGATCGCGCCAATTTTCGTATCTTCTCTCTCTCTCTCTCTTTCTCACCGAAAGTTATTTAATTGTAAATCCTATTCGCGTGCGTCAGTCTTTCGGCCCGACAAAGACTGTAGAGATTTTTATTAATAAAATCTATTAAAATTATTCGCCGATTTCGTCATATAATTTTTCCTAATAGATTAAACAATTGAAATAGGCTTAAGTTTTAATCCGATCATAGCTAGGGGATTAAGTGGATTAGGAGCAAAGTCGATTACACTTAAAACTTATCGTGTGTCACAAGGCACGTGACTTAAGGTGAGTTCAACTCCGCTTGATCGAAGACAACCAAGTTAAGTCAGCTGACGTTAAGGCGAATACACGTATTAACATACGTGTTAACGGAGCGGCGGTTTGCTCTGCATCGTGGGAGTTTGCTTTTAAATAAATTTCTCATTTTGCAGGTTTATCCCCCGGTTACATGGTGCCCAACTGGTATTAAGACCCGTGTCGTGCGAATAGGATTGTGCGTCGAAGGTAATCGACGCACGAGAGAGAGAGAGACGATTGCGCGAGCGCTTAGGAAGGTTTGAGCGGGTGGTAGAGCGAGATCGTGAGCGGTACGCCCTCTGCTGGGGAAAAAACGAAACCACTTCGAACCTTTGGTTAAAAATTGTTAAGATTATTGTAAAAAGGGCCGAAAGCGATAACACAGGCCTGCAAAATAGAGAGTCGTCACTGTTCTTTTACAACTTACGGTCATTTCCGAAGTAATTTTTGGCGTAGAATTAGAATCCGTCGTCAGAATTGCTTCATCACGTCAGGTTTTTGAGTAATCGTCCCCTAAAGGTCGGAAAAACACGTTTTTTGGCCATATTCAAGGCTTGATTACATCGTGAGTTTATATTCTTTTCAAAAACGGTTCACGGCATCTTAAAGAAGCACTCTTACCCTTCAAAACCCATTTTTCAAATTTAAGATATCATTTTTTTTATCAAGATATCATCAATGGAAATTTGCCATTTTTGAGGTTTCACCATGAGCTTAAAAGTTCGGCCAATTTTCCTGGAAGAATACGATATATTTCTTAGTTTTTTTTTTTATAATGATTCTAGAATCATTATCCAAAAAATACTAAGAAATATATCGTATTCTTCCAGGACAATTGGCCGAATTTATAATGATTCTAGAATCATTATCCAAAAAATACTAAGAAATATATCGTATTCTTCCAGGACAATTGGCCGAATTTTTAAGCTCATGGTGAAACCTCAAAAATGGCAAACTTCAATTGATGATATCTTGATGAAAAAAAATGATATCTTAAATTTGAAAAATGGGTTTTGAAGGGTAAGAGTGCTTCTTTAAGATGCCGTGAACCGTTTTTGAAAAGAATATAAACTCACGATGTAATCAAGCCTTGAATATGGCCAAAAAACGTGTTTTTTCCGACCTTTAGGGGACGATTACTCAAAAACCTGACGTGATGGAGAAATTCTGATGACGGATTCGAATTCTACGCCAAAAATTACTTCAGAAATGACCCTCAGTTGCAAAAGAACAAAACCTTGCAGGCCTGTGTAATTATTGGTAGATCGAAGTGATTTCAGATCGTACGGGAGAATCAGGTGTTAACCCATTTCAACCACAGTTTGGTGGATAAAGGGGGGTTGGTAACACCTGATCAACGATAAAGCAGAGAGCGCGACCCAAGCGTGCAGTCCAAATATTAGCCAGGCGGGGCAAGCAAACAGCAGGCTCCGACCTTAGGTAGGATATTTTTATAATATTTATAGAAAGTTTGCGGAGACTGCACGCGCTCATAGTCTCCTTTTAAAAGGCCTTATAAAAGGAGGCATTAAAAGTAGTAACACTAAATAGTGTACACCCCGCTCATACCTTGGGTGATAGGAAGCGGTAGTGGTCGATTAGGTCGAAATTTTAAACCTCAACCGCATCCTACACCCGTGCGGAGGCAAGATGGCTCTGTTGTCAGCTCAAATCGACAATTCGGCATTAGAGCTGACCTCCGCACAGCGCGAACATTATTTAGCGGATTTGGAGCTGTGCAAGGATGGAAGTGTCATCCAACAGGCGGCTAGGCTTGGGAGATGGTTGCTGGGTGAGTACACCGCCACAGATTTTCAAGAGACCACGCACAGCAAAGAGGTAGCGGGGCGCAGGAGGCGATCCCGACAAGCGTGGCTCGACATAGTCTGTGACGAGTTGGAAAACTCCACCACGGATGATAACAGCGACCACCCCCTCAGGATCACCAATAGGGGGGGAATATCATTGACTGATATGTCAAGGACATTCACCTGCCCGGATGAGGACTCTGAGGGTGAAGCCAGCCGCCAAGAAGAGGATGAACTCATCCAGAAGGCCCTCAGCACGCAAGAGCAGGAGAAGGAGAAGAGGAGACGGAGCAATCCGGACCCCAGGTCGCAGGAATTCTGCACTCGGAAGGAACCTCATGAAGAATTATCCTTGAGTGAAGCCTTCCGAGAGATAGAGTATCTGAAGGAGGGAATATAGTAGACCATAACCAAAAGTTGGTAGGTCGAATCCTAGAAACCCTTCAGACTCTGCAGGGATTACAGGTGTGTGCGGAGCGCGAGGCGCAGGACATGCGCATACGAATTCGAGAGCTGGAAGACGCAGTGCATGACATGGCCAGTGCTAACCGTTCTTCTCAGCATGACTCGGTTCAACCGCGCTCCGGACGTAATGTGGACTTTCAGGACACATACACCTGTCACTACGACTCGGGGATTCCGGGGAGTACACCGGCTCCTCCAAGACCAATACCTAGGAGAAAGGACGTCACCACACCGGAAGTCCTCCAACGAAGAGGAGGTGAAGAGGAATCGGAAGTCTATGGGAGATCCGCACCCGTTCGACAGAGGAGTCGAAGCGGATCATCTGGCACCGGACATCAGATATTCTCAGGGCTCTCCACAACCCGAGATGTTAGGAAAATTGTCCGCGGATGGAAATTGAGGTTTGCGGGCAGTAGGACACAGAGCGTAGATACGTTTCTGTCGAGGCTGGAGGATCTGCGCGTAGGTGCAGGACTAACTGACGACGAAGTGCTTTGTTCCGTATCAGAGATCCTCGAAGGTAACGCGAGGACCTGGTACGATAACAACAAGTACCAGTGGCTCAGTTATGACGAGTTCGTCGCGGACGCCCGGGATTGGTTTGGCACAAGTACGCAACAGCAACAAAGGCTGTTGCAGGAAGCCCAGAACCGGTTCCAGGGTGAGGACGAACTAGTGCGAGACTACGTGTCCAACCTGGTGGCTCTTGTCAATAGACTAGAACCGCCCATGCCCTTGGAGAGGTTATTAGACCTACTCCATGCAAACCTCCTTCCAACCATCCAAATCCAGCTGCGTCGGAGCGAGATGACGTCGATACGCGAATTCAACAGGAGGGCGACCGAGGTACAGAACACCTTATCTTATGGTCGCCGTCCACGTGTATTCGCTGACCCCAACTCGACGATCTTCCCTCAGCACGCCTACCAGCCGAGTAAAAGAACGGCTGGTAGTAAATCCCAAACCGCTGCAATGGCCAGCGAAGGGAAGGCGCGTGCGAAGAAGGAGGGAGATCAGCAGCGCGGACTGGGCGTGGAGAACCCCGTCAGGAGGCCTACCGAACAAGCATCGGTATCGGCTACGCAAGCTTCCACTTCTGATAAGAAGATGGAAGAACGTCTGGAGGGCATCGAGCGGATATTGCGCAAGTTGGCCGCTGACAAGCAAGCCAGCCCTCCAGAACAGCGTAACAGCCGATGGCGTAGAGGAAGGAAAAATTCTCCTTCTTCCAGGTCTCCTGGCGAGCGGCAAGAAGGGCAGAGGCGGAAGATAGACTTTACTAAGCCTCTCCAGTGTTCCGCTTGTGGCAAACTGGGTTTTAGTCGCAAGTTCTGCCCAGATTGCAACAAGGGAAACGACAAGGAGAGCGAAGTGAAGAGGTCATCTTCGCGCCTCCAGTAAATTCGACCTCTCGCTGCGGGTCGCCGATGGGAAACAGCAAGTTGTCGACGACCCAGGGATCCAAACAAGTCCTGGGAGAGCATCAAGAGAGCCCAGGACATAGCAGTAAATTAGAGCGGAAGGCAATTGAACCCGATGACAGCCCTCGGCAGAATAGGGGAGTGGTTATCCTGAAAGGACCAGATGGCCACATACAGGTTGTGGAGGAGGGGGAAGACTCCAGGGAGAGCCCCTCCACACAAAAAGCTCCTCTGC